AAGAAAACAACAGAAGACAGGGGTGATGGAAACAGTCGCAGCTTAGTCCTTTGATAGAGACACTGCACCTGAATCACACTAAACATAACAGAATTTGACAATTTGTCTGTCGGCTTACGAATGTAACACAAAGAATGCAAAAACCAACTACATTGGATAGCTCTGCTAAATAATGAAAAATTTTGAAGTTAAAAATATTATATTCCTTTCTCATGTCTAACACCCTTCTTTCTTCATAACATTCGGCAAGATGAAAACTTTTCCAGTAAGGTTTGTTTTCATAGTTTACAATGTTTGTCAATGCTTTTATATCAAACAGCAGGAAGTTTCACATCCTATTAAGAAGAACTGTGAAATATGAAAGTTTAAAATATGGTTTCACTGCATATTTCAGCCAAAAACAAAGTATTTATTGTATTCTTTGGAATCATCTGTAATGCGTGTACCTTCGAGCTGCGGGCTGGTGACTCTATTGGAGAAAGGATGGAAACTGGGAAGGTAACCCATTCATCGTTTCAATTGGTTCAAATGAAACTTACCCCACAACACAAACTACCGGTTACTGGTTACTTACTTACTTACTCATGGAACTGAGCCCTTCTGGAGGAGCCGCCAATTCTGCAGGTACTCAAGAATTTCCAAGCATTTTATGGAACCCAAAGGTTCATCACCGTGTTCACAAGAGCCCTCCACTGGTCCATATCCTGAGCCAGATCTATCCAATCAATACCATCCAATAACATCTCTCTAAGATCCATTCTAATATTGCCCACTCACCTATGCCTTGGTCTTCCCTGTGGTCTCTTTCCTTCTGGCTTTCCCACCAATATCCTATACACATTCCTCGTCTCCCCCATTCGTGCTACATGACCTGCCCACCTCATCCTCCTTGACTTGCTCATTCTAATTATACTTGGAGAAGAGTTCAAGTTATGAAGCTCCTCATTATGCAGTTTTCTCCAATCTTCTGTCACTTCATCTCTCTTCGGTCCAAATAATCTCCTCAACACCCTGTTCTCAAACACCCTCAGTCTATGTTCCTCCCTTATGCCAGAGATCAAGTTTCACACCCATACAGAACCACAGTCAAAATTATAGTTTTGTATATTCTAATTTTAATGTTTTTGGACAGCAGACGGAAGACAAAAGGTTCTGGACTGAATGGTAGCAAGCATTACCCGAGATCAATCGCCTCTTAATTTCCTCCTACCGGTTACTGGCACTGTATATAAATCCAGAATTTAATTAAATTTGACTTGAAGGTTATAACAAAGCTCGACGAAGACGCATTTTTATTTAAAACATGCAAAAACTTGTTTATCGTAAGTTAACTTTGGGAACGGGTCACGTCTAAAGCCGTGATTTGAATCTCTTGTTGCGTGTGGATCGTACAGATCAACGTTTATATCATCTATGCTGTTCTTCGTTTCGGGAGTGCCGCTTTGTCTGACAGATCGGCTCATTAATATCACCAGCTTTAAGAGACATGTTAGATGCCCAAATTATAACCATAAACCTCTTATAAACTTTGGCCCTAAATATCGACACTATTCCTAATCTTTCTGTCATTCAATCTGCTCCATTCCCTAGAACTGTCATGCTATCTGTTGTAAATACTGGTTAAAGCAATGGAGTGATTGAGTGTGCATGGTGTCGATTTCTCTCAGTTTAGCTGTCACCCTTGGTAAGTGTTTGCTGTAGCCACTTCCATAATACACATTCACTGCTACAAGAAAAACTGTAGGAGAAAGGACTGGCTATCAGTCATATGCCTGTTAACTTGATGTATCAACAAAAATATATTGCAACGAGCGAGGAATTTACTTATAATAAAATATTGTTATTAAGTACATAAAGCCCCACAGTTAAACTTCTTCATCGCTGCGCACCTGCTCCCCTGCGTTAACTTCCCCACTGTGCACTAAGCAGCTGCTATGCTTGCCAAGCCCAAGTCTCATATCCGATGTCAGCTTTTTATTATTCCCCCCTTTTTGTCTTCCCTCGGGTTGTGGTGTAAGCAAGAGGTCTCCACAATTAATATGAGGATGTGATGTTTAGTATTGATACTGAACCTCTTTCTAGGTGTGGTCTGTGTGTGGGAGGGCAGACAGGTCACTTGGAAGCTGAGGGAATGGATAGTTGCAACGTGTGTGGTGGAGATAATAGCTGTGTTGGCTGTGACAATGTGGTGGGGAGCAAGAAGGTATCTGATGCCTGTGGGGCTTGTCTGGAGCTCAATGATGAGATGCGTGACAGTAAGTATTTCTGGTAATGGGTGGTACTTATATTAGATGAATGTTATTCAGCTGATCAGAAAATTACATTGCATTACTAGCTTTTTAGACTGTGTCCATTGTCTGATGTTCTATAAATTAGAACACAGCCTTGCAGGTACCGGTTCTGCTCCCATCTTCACATGTGGGAATGCCAGACCATTTGGAACTGTTAGAAAGAAGTAATTACATATAGTGGCCAAATCCAAGATTACACTCTTAAATTCATATCAAATTAAACAGAAATAATGAGAAATATAAATGAGATGCAGTAATAAGTATTTCCCATATTAAAATGGGACATACATCATCATAATCATAATGATCATCATTGCCACCATCCTCACCATCCTCACCAAGACCACCATGACCACCATGACCACCACGACCATCACCACTTTTATCCTTACTCATTTCAATTGTGGTGTTAGGCATAATACAACAGAAAATTTCAATCTTTATAGAGGGCTTCCTAAGTACACTCTTCCTCTGGGTTCATATTTCATAACTGTTGGGTTTCACAGGTAATTTCTAATTCCTTGAATTGTTGTTGTACAAAATTTGTTGTTAATGATACGTCTGGCATTATTTAATTATAAATCTATTTATTGTGTCTTAAGTAGAAGGGGGGGGGGAGCTAGACATCTGCTCTCGCACTCTGGATTTTTAGATTACTGGAAAGTATAAAATTTTGAAAAAGAAGGAAATATATCAGGTTCTTGTACAAGTACCAAAAATTAAAATATTCTTGGAAGAAATATTTGTCTATCCTGAGTACTCTAGGATTATCACTAGAAGTAATCTTAAACAGCTTATGTGTGGGTTTGTAAACAAAGCTTCTGGCTGCGCCCCATTACAAAATGTCCCAGTGACACCCAAGCTCTAGAGACTAACAATAGTTGGAAAATATATTTTATGATTCTCAGAACTGTAGAGCTGTTTTAGTTTCAGGTTTTTTTTTTTTTCTTGAAATAGATGGACAGTTAAGCTGGCTATAGGAGCACCAGTGAACGCCAGTTGAATGAAAGTTAAGACGAAAAAAGGAAAGGCGGTAGTAGATACAAGTATGTCCTCAGGTTCCTGCAAAGTCAATTACACTGGACACAGGTGTACTTGTGCATCACCAGTTGAATGGGGGATAAGGAAAGAAAGATCACGCATGCTAGTATATAAGTTAGCAAATTATCAGTATTATCTTTTTGGAATCCAGTCTAAACTATCTCCATTTCATGTACAGGCTGACATGCAAAATAATGTATAATGCCACAGTATATTACAGTAACTGTAATTAGTTATAAGTACTCCATAGCAGTGCATTATACAACATCAATTATAGCTGGAAAAACTAAATTCAGTAAATAAAAGCAGGTTACTTATTCTGCAGTACACACACACTATGTAATGCATATTCTCCATAGGATGCACCAGAATCTCGTCTGTGTATCCGATGGTATTGGATAGGGCAGTGGAGAAAGTAGCAACAGTGAACCTGAGAGGAGCGGGTATCAACCCAAGCAATCTTCCCTACATCAGCTGCAGCTTGGAACCTACCAGTCTACAACAACAAGGAGACAGAGTAGCAAGTTTTTACAGATTATTCTGTTAGAAGGAAAGGAACAAGTAAACTATCCTTGTAACAAGCCGTGAAGGACCATAATGTAGTGAGACATCAAGGCTCCCTCATTTTGTTTAGACTATCAGCTCACAGATGGCAATGAAATTGTCAACTTTATACCCTAGCCACCCTTTACACCTCAGGAAGATTCCTGGTACTCATTTCTGTTAGAGGCTGAGTTGACCTCTGGGCCATTGTGCTGTTGGAAGGATTAGGTCCGTTGATAAATCCAGTGACCTCATTGGGATTTAATTGTGTGACCTTCCGGCTCGTATCATGGTGCCTCAACTAGCTATGCTAGTGATCCTGTTGAGGTCATTGGATTTTTCAATTAACCTAATACTTCCAGTCACACTATGGCTCTAGGGTTGACTCAGGCTTTAACAGAAATGAGTGTCAGGAATCTTCCTGGGGCTAAAGGTCAGACAGAGGGTAAGTCTGACAACCCCACTGCCATCTGTAAGCCGATTGTATAGAAAACGTGGGTTCCTCGATGTCTCACAACACTGTGGGCCTCCACGGCCTGTTACAGGGGTAACTTTACCTTTTTTGGAAGGAACAAGAAGCAGAAACCTTTAGTTTTTATCAGATACTGGGAGACTCAGTGAAATTTTAACATCAGATCTGTGAATGTATACACTGCATTGAAACCTACCTGGAAAAAACATGCTTGCCAAAAGTAGTATATTCACCATTACGCAGAACACATGACATGGGCAAGAGAGTTTGTCCTTTTTCAGATATGTCACCTAAGGACTATGTGAGTGTGAGAGAGAAATGGGACAGATTTTTTCCTTTAATAGCTGTGGTGAGTGATTAATGCATATTTTCTGACCTGTGTAGACAAATGAGAGGCTGATAGGATGCATATGGGTATTATGAATTTTAAATTACAGTATAAAATGGATCTTAGGGAGATATGATGAGATGGTGTGGGTTGGATTGAGCTGGCTCAGGATAGGGACCAGTGGAGGGCTCTTATAAACATGGTAACGAACCTTGGGTTCTACAAAATGCTGGGAAATCCTTGAGTAGCTGCAGATTTGGCTTCTCCTCAAGAAGGTCTCAGCTCCATAAGTAAGTAAGTAAGTACATATGAAATCATGAAAGAAAATGCAGTAATTTATTTTTAATTAAGTCATAGTTGAATTTGAGCTTCGAAAAAGATGCTAGTTAAAATCAGTATAATAAAACAACAAATTTCACTGGAGCAGAAAATAAATTTGGTTGAATGTGAAATATTTGCAATACTCTTGTATGCTGCTACAGGGAGTATCAAAGTCACAGATTACTGAGCTTATAGAAATTAGACTTTAACACCAAACAAACCAAATTGCTTTGTTTACTTCATAAATACCTTGCATTAGGTTAGCAGTACTCAATTTCGGGTTTATGTTTTCTCAATAATAATTACAAAATATCAAATGTAACTTGTATCAAGTTCCATTTCCATCTCTGAATTTTTTCTTCTGTGTATTCTGAACAATACCAATGCCTGAATCTTTATTACATCGTCAATGACTAAGGTTCCTTATGGATATGCAGAATGTCCGTAAATGATTGATACATCTTCGTGGATAAAATACAAGGAAACTACAAAGCACACCCAAGAAAACCAGTAACAACGGAAAATCAATTTCTCAGAGATTTGAAAATTTGGCGGTTTGTCTCTGTATTTCCTATCTTTACCGCCAGGGTCCGCTATATTTAGAAACATTTAGATGTGACGTTACTTAAATAGTAGAAATTTTGTGTGATGGAGTGCCGAAAAGAATTACACTCAATAGTGTTCAGCGGGCCTTCAGAAAATGGTTTCGTAAGGGTCCACCTCCTCAAGCATCGATTCAGAGATGGTGTGACAACTTAGGAAACCAGGGATACATTTGTAAGAAGAAAAGCAGTGGCCGTCCTCGTGTGAGTGAAGAGGATGAATTGCGGTTTGAGGCCACATTCAATCTAAGCCCAAGGGAAACCGTTGTGAGTTACAGATGCCGGAAACGACCGTGTGGCAAGTTCTAGGCACACAGATTCCCACGAAACCAAACAAATTTTTCATGATTCACGAATTGGAGCTTGAGGATTTCCCGAAACGGAAAAAGTTTTGCGAGGCTTTGTCTCCTCACGCCCCAGAACTCACTCCATGTGAATTCCTTCTGTAGAGTTTTATAAAGGAAAAAGCGTTCGTGCAACCTTTACCACTGGATATTGATGAAATGAAGTTCAGAATTACCGCAGCTATGGAGACGATTGACAGAAACATGTTAGAAAGAGTATGGGATGACATGGATTACAGACTAGAGGTATGTCAGTTCATGAATGGAGCTCATATTGAACACTTTCAGGGTATGTAAAACTTCCAGAGTTTGTCATCCAGATGACATGAGTTATAGCTGTATAGCTGTAATACTTACGTTTGTATAACAAAAGTGCATCAATCATTTACGGTCATTCTGTATTTTGGAACACTCATATCATCATATAATTTGAAACTGGATGTAACCACATTAAATTTTTCTGTTCTTGCTCTCACTTGTTCAATGTTCTCAGGTGTGCAAATGGAACATGTTGGGCCAACGAACTTATTCACTGCATTATCACAAACACTGATATCATCAACTTACTTTATACTAGCATTACACAAAGGAATCTGGTCATGCCTTGGAAACTGAAACTCATGCTGAAGACATTTTAGCAAAAATGAAATGATTCACAGTCCAGTTCTACATGACTAATATGTAACCTGCATACCAAGACATTTTGGTGCACACAACATTGGTATTCCCCGCTTTAACCAGTTGCCAACAGCAGGAATGTGAATTAAGTCACAGCATGACATTATTGATAGCAATTACTTCTTTACTGTGGATATACTGAATTTTTCCCAACTATCCCACACCTTGAGAACCTCCTGGTTCTGCCATGTCATGTATCATTCTAGTAATGATATCTTTGCCATGGAAATTTTATTTCTTGTTCTTAACATTCTTTACATGGGACAATGCTTTTCCATATGTAAAATTATCCAGTGTATATGGATTGCACTTTTGTCATAACTTCCAACCTCTGCTCTCTTCTTTGATGGTCTTGTCCTTTTTATCACTGATTCTGACAGTCCTCGCTTGTTTTCCTGGTTCATTTTTAGTCATTTGCTTATTCCCATAGACATGTCAGCATAGAAAGAACTCTGTGGACAGTAATTTGATGTGACAGTTCACTTTCTTCACACTCTTTCACACATCTCTGCATGACATTACTAATAGCAGCTCTTTCTTTTCTGGGGATACAATGTTCTTTTATCCCTGACCATTCTGTACCTTGTGATTCTCATGGTTCTGTCATTGAAAAAACTGAGGTAACCATCAGTGCAAATATACCTACAGTTTAACAAACTTTCTTGAACAGTTAAGTTGAATAACAAATGTGAATATGTACAGTTGAAGAGTATGCTGAGAAGGTTACATACACGATGAGAAACAAACTCAAGTTGGTTCACTCTTCATAATACAATTACAGGAATCAACAGCTATAGAAAGTAGCTACCACTTTTCCTAACATTATAGTAAAGAACCATTATGTCACTGATCTTACTGGATTTGTGCAAAATTAATATGTGAGAATGACTCACAGACAGTCATAACCATGCCTGGGCTGGGTGGGGGGGCCAGAGAGAGAAACATTTGTACACATCCCTGCCTGCTGTCTCACACAACGGACCCAAACTTGGCCACATGTTAGCTAACAACCTGGGCTACATATCTTTCATATTGTGAGTAAAACTGTTTCATGGTGTATCAAAACCCTATTTTCACAGCCTCCATGCTTAGGAACAAAGCCAACCCAAGGTTCACAACAGTTTTATGTTGCACAATCTATGAATTTTAGTAGAAGTAGCAGTTTACATCGGAAATTATGATTGCTGGAACAAGTGAAGTTAAGAAAACCGGCTTAACTTGCCATGGAATCAGAACGAATGGCTGTATTTTCCTGTTGTTCACTTAACTGAATTAAATAGCTTGTTCCCTATTCTACCCATATAGGAGCTATTTATCCACTATTGGTGACTTGAGATGATCCAAAGTGAAACATAATTTGCAGTGTAAAATGGCATCTTCCATCAATACAGACGAACACACACCAAGCAATAATTCGTCAGTACATCTGCCTCCAAGTTGCAGTATCAGCCGAGAGAAGGAATGACTTCATTTACAGAAAGATATACTTGGCCTCAGAAATGATAGAAGGATCAAATTGGTAGGAAGGAACCATGTGACTTGGCATGATCAAGGATGGAAAGCAGGGGAGGAAATATCAATGAAGAAAGGATGGTAGAGCCTCACAGGGTGAGCTAATGAGGCTAGAGATCTGCCAGTATAGAGGACAGCTCAGTAGCACAGCTATCAATGAGCTGTGAGCTGTGAATATGCGATGGTGGGTGGGGGGAAGAGGGAGACGTGCATTACTTTCCCCATTCTCTCAGCTCCTGAACCGTAGTGGTGCCAATGGCAGTAACTAACTCTGACTAATTAGATCCAGGGAGCAGAGTACTTCTTGAGAAGTTAATAGTCGCTCAGGTACTCAGACATTCCTTGCTCTTTGTGGTAATATAATGTTCCAAACCTGCCAGGTCTGGGATGCTGTGTAACATTGTGCAGTATGCTAATGTTTTATGGTGAGGAGTTGTTACCCTCCCATCCAAGCACCATGCTGGAGGACTGCCCTCTGTTGGTTCTCCATGAGTATGTTCACTATATTTGCAGCTACTCTCCTGGGGACAGGTTGTGCTGAGGTGATCACAGGTGTACCTAACATGGTTGAACGTAATGTATTGATTGACTGTGTTCTCTGGATTATTCTGAATATCCACAAAACAGCAAAATTTTACTTGTGAAGGATAATCATACTGCTGTATATTTGTTATAGGCACAGCAAGTTGAAAAGATGAGTGTAGAAGATGGTGTGATCCAGCTGGAGGTGATCCTAACAGAAAGGCTAGATGGGCTGTATACGGTTAACTGCAGGTCCAATACTGTAGGACCTGTATCCTCAGGGAGCCAAGTGGCTCTCTTGATAGTTGACAGTAAACAGCTCTGTATTACAGACTACAAACCCAGCAATGTTAGTGTTGGTGTGGAGTTTCAGGTAAGTGAACCCTTTCATTAAAGGTCTCCAAAGATTGCAGTAATTTCTATTGTGGCAGGCAATATATATATATATATATATACAGGGTGTCCCAGGAGGAATGGACCAAACTTCGGGAGGGTGTTCCTTATGCTAAAGTATGCCGATATAACCCAAAACACCTATGTCCAAAGTTGAACGGTTACAGAGATAATGGCCCGAGAAAAGTATGGTCTTCTAGCGGATCCACGCACTATACCTGTCAGCTGTGACTGTTATCTGTTTGTCCTTGAGTGTGGTGCTGTAACACTAGCCGTAATCTCATGCACTACTTACAGAGGCTTACAGTGTATCTTGTGTCAGCGTCGTGAATGGTTAGTAAATTACGTGTAGTTGTGCGGTGTTGCTGAAATGCCTTTTGTGTTTTCACACGTTGAGTATTGTGATATGAATTTTGTGTGTGGATTTTGCGGTGGCAATGCACGTGCTGCTGTTGAAGAATACCAAAGGCGTTTTCCCGATCGAAGGATTCCATCTCGAAGTGTATTTACGCGAATTCACCAGACATTGCGTGATACTGGTTCTCTTGCAAGTGTTTCTGTGCACTCTGAAAGGGAGGATGTACGAATGATAGACACACGAGAGCACATTCTTGATATGGTTGAGAGAAGTCCACGTCTGTCCATCATAGAATCGCCTCTCGAATCGGCGTATCATGTATTCAGGTGTGGCGAACTTTACATGATGAAGAGTTATCCTTACCATGATCAAAGGGTACAACATCTGGAACCAGGTGACCATGCACAGCGTATGGATTTCTGCCACTGGATAAAAAGCTGATCCCGAACTGTTAAGAATCATTTTATTCAGTGATGAGGCATCTTTTACCCTGGATGGTGTAAATAATTTACGAAATGTGCATACATGGTTCCATAATAATCCACATGAGATAATGGAAACGAAATTCCAAAAGAGATTTTCCATGAATGTTTGTTTAGTACAGTTATGTAGTCTGTTTAAACCAGTATGCGCAGCCAGCCATATTACGTCAGTGCTTGCCAGTCATGTGTCATGTATAGTGCTTGGAAACCCTAAGGACAATTATGACATGGCGAGCGAGTATTTCGTACTTCAATTTTATGGCTTCACGTCACTCATAAGTTAGTTTGATGTTACATACATTATTAACATTACAGAATCCACATATTCCTGCCAGTTTTAATAAGTATTTTGTAATCAACAAGTGTGTAACACCGGTCAAAGTTTCACACTTCTCTGGCCATTATCTCCGTAACCGTTCAACTTTGGATGTAATGCCCCTAAGGTTACGTACATGTAGATATAGTTTTTGGGTAAAATTGGAATAATAGTAGCTAGACCGTAAGATTAAGAAACAGCCATGATGAAACGAACCAGGAAGCTTGGGTTTACAAAGAATTTAACAGGGAATGCCTGAGTCATTAGAATGCTAGCACGGCAGCGTAAAATCGCTGACATTGAGGAAGAAGTTATATGAAGTAGGTCATAAACACTATGGCGGGAGGAAAACGCTGAGTCAGAGGAGGCGGTAGACCCGAAAGAGTCAACCCCTTCTCGATGGGCAACCAATGAGGGGGGCCAAAATCACGTCAGCATGGGCAGGCCAACATACCCGGAACACGAAGAATCAGCAAAGAGAGGTTATATAAACCCTAGAAAACTTAATCAAAGAACCTTTTGCCTTTTGACTTTTGAATAATATTAAGTAACTTAGAGTTCAGGGCAGGCTATCGCCGAGAGAGCGATGGCCGTGAGTGTGCGCTGGTTGGTGATGGCGAGCATCTGTTTCCTTAGTTCAAGTAAGTGAAACCAACTTCATATAGCCATGAACATTAAGTGTGATAGTGACAATTGTAAAGTGTAAACCCCAGAGAAAGATAGTGCTGACTAGATGGACTAGGTTCATTCAGAAATACAGAGGCGTAGAATACCCGACAGTAGGGTGACAAGAGGTAGACTTAATGATGGCTGCAGGTTCATTATCCAGTGTAATACAACCGACGAACATCGGTAAGTGTGTATATAGTATGTATATAGTAACACAGGGCAATAGAATAGGATAGGCATGTGTATGAGTTTACTTTAACCTAGCAATTCCTTAAGTGTTACCCTCTTCCCTGACGACTCCAGGACCTCCCAAAGCTTCGGCGAATTACGAGTTAAGCCAGGACAGTGACGTAAGCAACGATAAGTTTACTAGTTTTCTTGATATAACAAGATGGTGGCAGCATACTAAACCGGGTGACAGAGCGGGATACTTCCATGCCCCCTGTCACCACGGCATAATAGAGGTGTAGCGACGGCATAACAGTGAAGACAGCGGTGAGATACCCGATCCACCCGTCGTAAGGACGTAAGAGCGTAACAGTGGTGGAAGCGGTGGGGGATTTACCTCCACGCCCCCCTCCACGACGTAACATTGGTGGCAGCGGTGGGATTCACGAACGGCACTCCGAAGAGACTGATGCCTCAAACCAGGGAAAAAAAGGCCTGAGAAGATTAACAAACCATTCGCCAGGGAGGCGGAAACTGAAGGAGCACAGATTGACGGTCGGCGAGCAAAGACCGCGACCATGGGAAAACGCAGTGAAGGAAACTGCGAGGAAGGCCAAGAGGGCCGCAGCCAGAACCTGAGAAAAAGAATCACCGCCCGAGGACAGAAGGACGAAAGAGCGCCGTAACGTTGGACATAGGTGTTTTGGGTTATATCGGCATACTTTAACATAAGGAACACCCTCCCGAAGTTTGGTCCATTCCTCCTGGGACACTCTGTATATATTACCTTCCTTATTACATATCTGCAGTTTTACTTCAGTATCATAACCCTCCATGATCAGCACAAAAATTACTGTACATGACTAGTGAGTTGTGTATGCACCTTCCTTGATTCTGAAACAGTCATGTATTTCTCTTCTCCCTTATCATTATCCACTTTTCTTATTGTAAATAACTTTTTAATCCATTAAACATGTTACTGGAAGGAGACAAAAGAGTTATTTTATGAATTAAAGCATACGAATGAAGGTCAAGTGAAAGAAAGCCAAAGAAATTCCATTATTTTGAGGACAAGTTGGAAATTATGAACTGGTATGATAGAAGTAAAAGCAACATATGCACACTGAGTGATTCTGCAACAAAAATCGTTTGCAGTAGTGCTTATACAATTTACAGGAATATTCAGTCAACCATAAATCCTAGTGTTATTGGAGTCACAAAATTGTGATCAGACATAATTCAGAGATTGCAGAGGATGTACATGGCTCAAGCATCAGAGCCACCAGAATATGCCTTTATCTTGAGTGGATGTTTGGGAGAAGGTGATTAATTTATTGTAAGATCTAATTCCTAATGAACCAACACCTTTGTTACTCTTTGGAATTGGTTCGACTGTTAGTAGTCATGCATTCCTGAAGATTTTAGGAGGGATAGAGCTGTAGTTCATGTTGGCCATAAAGAATTTTCATTCAAAGCAGCATCTTTGGAAGAAGGTTAACATTAAAGCAGATATTATATTTAAGCGTCCTGTTACACTCTATACAATATATGATATAAATTCTGTCCTAAGTATAACAGTTTATTGTAGGTCTTTGGTTTTGCCTTCTTCTACAGTACATGTAGACACAGAATAACGCCTTACAGTGCTGAAAACAAGAAGTAGCCGCTGCAGCACTATAGACATGGGGCAAGTAACCCTGAGAATTTTAATTTTAAATTTAAAATTTGAAAAAATTTTAAAGGAGTTTTCTAAATTGGAACTGAAGATTTTAAAAGTGCCAGTTCATGAATGTCAAAATTGTCGTGTGTGGGTGACAAAGATGATGTACGAATCAGACAAATAGCAGTGAAGTAGATCCTGTTAGCCAATTGGGAAGACCTGTGTGTTTTTAAATTTTAAACTGGGTGCAGTGTAACAGCTACATGAGCGTATACACCTGATGATGGCCGTTTGCAGCCAAAACATGTAGTGTAGAAGAAGGCAAAACGAAAGACCTACAATAAATTATTACACTTAGGACGGAATTTATATCATATATTAAAGCAGAAGTTTAAACTTGTTGAAACATATATATTCTGGAAGTTCATGCTCAAGTGCAGTACTGTTTCTATTGAGGAGAAGGCAGTGCACTGCTAAAGACTGCTGCACACTGCCCTTTGGAGTCAACACTATCAGGGGACTATCATTGTGTGTTCCTAAGAAATTGCTCAGTTACTGAAAGAATGGGCCATGGCCGGCACATAAGGCTGACAACCTTACCACCATCTCTGAGCCGATTGTCTAGATAATGTGGGACCCTCAACGTCTCACAACCCTATGGGCATTCATGGCCTGTTAACAGGGATAGCTTTACTTTTTACTTCTTTTATGGGCTATGTAAGAATAAGTTTATGCTATAAGGAGTGCTGAATAATGTTGGTGACATGCAGTGAATACTGTAAAAAATGAAATATTCTGTTTAAAACTATCATTCTACAACGTGCTGTCAGTGTTCAGCCAAATGTTACACTGAAATATTCCATTTTTATTGTAGTCTTATGGGTTATGGTATCACGTAGCTTGGTAGATGGTTACTAATGTTTCAGAGGAACATAATAACTCCATCTTAACTGAAGACTGTAGTGCCATAACTCATAAGACTACAGTATCAGCCTTCACTACCACAAGCACCTCAATCGTCATACCATACAACTTCTCCAGCCCATTGGTCAAGGTTTCACAGCAACTGCTAAGGCTTATTACAAACCTTCTGCAGGCTCATCAGGGAGTGTGTTGCAGTTGTGTGCTCAGAACCAAGGAATTCCTGTGTCAGTTTAACATTAAGATGGCATTTAATAACATTTTTGATACTTGAGATGAATTCACTTCACGCCATATGGATACTCTGGCAAAAAAATCAGAGGCTTAACACTGGGAAATGCTGCTACTAATGCAAGGGAAGCCAGTAACCCTATGACACTGGATTTGAGGCAGTCAACAAGGAAACTATGGATGAGTTGTTAGAATCAAACTTTGACTAACTGTGGACCAAAAATTATCTGGCTCTGGAGAATGGTATAAGAGAGAAATTACAGTTGATTGAAGTATAGAGTCAATATGGAGTCACAGTGAAGACCATGTCTCAGTATTTAAACTGACTTACAGAGCCATGGCCTCATCAACGTATACTGAACAGCCCACATTAGAAATTGTATGTGCAAGACAGGGCTGAAAATGCTCCAAAATGTTGCAATGATGTTTACAGTAAGAAGATGGAGTTTGCTATGTTTGCATCATAATTCAGCATGAGTTTACCCATACTCATGCAGCTCCTAGTAAAGATTTATTAATGTTAAATTAACATCACTATTCTCTTATGTTTAATTAATTATTTTTCTCATGGTGTGAGACTGAGTCCACTTGGTACTGCGGCCACTGTTTGGCCAATTGTACCACTTGCAGATGATGGATGATGATGGTTGTGGAGCAGTTGGTGGAATGTGAATTGGCAAGGGAAACTAAAGTACTGCAAGAAAACGTACCCCAGTGTCACTTTGTCCACCACAAATCCCACATTACCTGACCCAGACTTGAACCTGGACCACTGCAGTGGGAAGTCGGCAACTATCTGCCTGAGCTATGGCACAGCAATATATATTTAATTTTTACTGCTGTTTTGTCTTTATGTGTGTATAATATAAACTCTGTCATAAATGTAACACTTTATTGTAGTTCTTGTCCCCTTTCTTTCACACTACATGTTTCGGCCGTAATCAGCCATCATCAGGTGTATTTCACTTCACCTAGCTGTCTTGCTTTGAGCACAACTTGCGTGTTATTTTGTGCAGGCTCTCTGTGTGCGTGCCACTGCTTTTCTTTAATACATAGAACGTATTAACCTGCACAAAATAACATGCGAGCTGTGCTGAAAGCAAGAGGTAGCCACTGCAGCACATATAAGCACAGAGCAGGTATCTCTGTGATTTTGGTTTTTAAATCTAAATTTAAATTTTAAATATTAAAGCTAAATGATAATTTAAAATTTTAAACCAATCGACGTGAGAATATTCATAAAACAGAATTGACAAAATGGACAAGGGGAGTTTTGGAATATCGGGTGCCGATTGATGACAGAAAATGAACAATTGGAAATCTGGAATTTAATGAAATGAAATACACCTGATGATGGCCGGTTGCGGCCGAAACATGTAGTGTGAAAGAAAGGGGACAAGAACTACAATAAAGTGTTACATTTACGAAGGAGTTTATATTATACATATAGAAGTGTGGAATATAACAGGATGCTTAAATATAATATAGTCTTTATGTGTATTAAAAACAGATGTATATTTTTAATAAATGTGGTAATTTAACCTTGAAATTTCACTTTTGTGAATTTTGGCACGCAGCCTCTATATTGCTCGTTAAAAGATTCTATTTTATGTGAATTTTGAATATTCAGTGGTTTTCAGGAAGGAAACTTCTATTTATGAAAGGGTCAGTGTCTTCAGACAGGAAACTAAGGCAGAGTTATGAGTAATAATGAAACTATGAAAGTTGGATATATTTCAAATGTTAAAAATTTTCTAAAAGAAACAGATAGAGCAGCATTCGTTATATTTCTTTTCATGAATTTGCCTTGCAAGATATTGCCAAATGAGACACATTGTACCTATTTTTCTGCAAAAGTCCTGAAATATTATATATTCTCAAAGGGTAAGTTAGTGATTTGGTCACCAATGTTTCAGGGTGTTTTATGTCTTTTGGTTTACAGATGGAACTGACAATACCAGCAGTTGTTCAGAATAGTAGTGTACTGTGCTATGTGCAGAAAAAAGGCCAACAAATTTCTGAAGTTATACAAGCTGAAGAGGTGACAACAGGTCGTGTCAAGTGCAGACCCTACACAGCTCAAAGAGCAAGTCGCATGGAATGGGGAGCTGCATATACCTGGGATGCGGCTATTGACAGGTAAATCATCGAGAACTTAATGCCATCGTATTGTGATGTGACGGCTAAAAGCCGGAATAGTGAAACAAGAAGACATGGTCAGTGCTAGGCAATGGCACAGTAAATGTGTTCCTGTGGCAGCAGGTACTGACACAGTTATAAAGGATGCTATGTTTTCTGTGTGGCCCTTGCTGAGGCTATATAGTGAGGGCCAGCAGCAGCCAGTTAGTTCGTTAGTTGCAAGTGAACAGTGGCACTTCGAGGCTGGCCATGAGGAATCTCCTTGGTTAGCAACGGATAGTGATGACAGAATAACAGACAGAAAATTTTGTGTGTGCTGTACTAGTAATGAGTTATAGAGTGTGTAAATTAGTTGGGCACATGGTAGTACAGTTGGTTGAGGCACTTCACTACAAGCTGGAAGGTTGCGGGTTCGAATCCCTATGAAGTCATTGGATTTTTTCAGTTTACCTAATCCTTTCAGCCTCTAACAGAAATCAGTAGCAGGAATATTCGTGGGGTTAAAGAACAGCTGTTGTGTAAGGCTGACAGTCTCGCTACCATCTGTGAGCTAATTGTCTAGAAAATGTGGAACCTCAATATCTCACAACCTTAAGGGCCTCCACTGACTGTTACAGGTATAGCTTTACCTTTTTTTTTATTAAAACCATCATTACACAACTATATTAAGGTCAGTGCCAAGTTTGACTCTGCTACATGTTTTGGCTACCAAAAGCCATAATCAGGCAAATATATGGCTAACACATATACACCACTGAACTGCAGTACTAGTAAGATTGGATACAATAATATTAATTATATTAAAATACTTGGCATAAAAGTACAATAAATTAGACTATATAAAATGGAAGTTACAGTATGAAACAAGATTATAATTCTTCAAGTGATGCTTTACATCATAGAGTCACTCGTTGGTTTTTGCAATTTTGTTGTGTTTCCACGGACAACGTAGAGTGTTCTATATTTTGTGTATATATAATAAATTGTTTTGGAGGCTCATGATGTAGATGTAGTAATATTAATGTTAATCTGAAAATGATATGAGAGTAATAGTATTAAATTTTGTTATAATTAGCAATTGATTTTGGTATTAAAGATATAGTGTATTATTTACTTACTATTTAGTTGGTGCCTCATCTTACAAAGTATTGTCCGTTCTGTAGGGAATGTAAACAACGACTGATTTGGTGATGTACAGGTATGTTAAAAGTCAATGCAAAGGAGGGAGGGGGTAGGAAGTTAGAGATAATATGTACGTGGAAGTGGTGGAAGGGGGGAGGGGGCTATGGCTGTATATTATGTTTTGTGTGTATCAATGATGCATTGACTAAGCACTGTATGCTTAGATTCTCTAAATGATGACCCTTTGAGACTGTCTTTCAGATTTAAGTCTAACAGGAACAGAAATTGCATTCTGGTCCATTATGGGACAATGTATGATCATCCTAACAACCAAAATTGGTCTTGGTGGTTCTCTTTGTGTACATAATAATAGTATTACATGTACACCAATTGCTAGACAACATCTTGACAAACAAGTTCCTGCGAAGACAGATTCTTGGCAAACAGTCTGTTGCTAGGTTACATAACGATAGAAGAGGCTGTGTTTTCTATGTCGTTTGCACTGAGCAGCAGTGGTAAAATGGGGTTATGCAACCTGTTTCCTAGCAACAGTTCAGTAAAGAAACATCCACACAAGCAGTGATGTTATCGACAATAGAGACGGTGTTTTTCATGGGGTCTGTACATAGTGCTTATTAGAGAAGTGAATGCAGTGACAGAGTAAGTTCAAGGGGCAGTTACGAGTCAGTTGTAAGCTGGAGGAGTGAGTACAGAAGAAGTCTAGTTCCGAGGTTCCAGAGTGACTGAAGACGAAATAGCAAGAAGACTTCTTAGTGATATGAATTCCTAGTTTCTGTGCTGAGATTCATTGCTAGGAGATGACTAGTGAAGACTGGGAATCCTCGTGTGTGTGTGTGTGTGTGTGTGTGTGTGCAGTGGTTAACTGGAAAATGTGTAAATCAGTGATAGCATTGTATTTAAGTTTGATTAAGAGAACTTGTAACCAAGGTGCTAATAAATCCAATCATCTGAACTAGAACCCACTATTTTTGTCATGTGTACCATCCTACACATGACCATAACCTTCAAAGAGAAATGTCTGTTTGGCAAGTCTTAACTTAACTTAAAAGCAGATTCAATTCCAGTGTTTGACTGAGCCGAGACAATTCTGAAGTTCAGGCTAAATAAAGGAGAATTCTGTGAGGTGTTGTACATCAGAATATGTGCTTTGTGCTTAAATGGCCCTCTACTCTTGTACTTTCCTCCTCACTCCTATAGGTTTTCTTAGGTCTCTTGCTCTGGTGTGTGTCTGTATCACTTTCTTCTATGCTTGTCTTACTCTTTGACCTTGACAGTGGAGGCAGTACACTCCTTAAAAACGTTAGTAAACTTCTGTGACACTACATGATGTAACAGTCCTGCTGTCATCTGAACCTCAAAACTCTATACAGTTATACTGTTATACAAATCTCTGTTGTGCGTAATGCATTTTTCTGAGAAACTGCTTTTGAGAACATTTAACTTGTAATTTACTAATAGTATAGATTAAAATACAGTTCTGAACCAGCAATTTGAGTCTGATTATGTTTTGGTAGGCTGAAGTGATTGAAGTGATTGAAGGAAAAACTCTGAACACTGGCGTATGAAGTATCTGAAAATCTTCATTGGAAGGCCTTCGTATAAACTGTGTGGGAACCTGTTGGCTTTGAGCAGGAAACAGCTTAGGCTGTTAACAGGGATTTTTTTAATTGCTAGTTGGGTGGGACTAAGTCCCTTGTACTGTGGCCACTTCTGGCCTATTGTACCAGCCCCAGATCATAGGTGAGGGTGATTGTGGAGCAATTGGTGGAATGAAGATTGGCAGGGAAAACCGAAGTACTCAGAGAAAACCTGCCCCAGTGCCACTTCGTCCACCACAGATCCCACTTGACCAGACCCGGGATCGAACCCGGGCCGCCACGGTGGGAAGCCAGCGACTAACTGCTTGAGCTATGGCGCGGCCAACAGGGTTCTTGATAGGCCAGTATATATTGTGGTGGCATTTAGATATTAAAAGTCTGTAGGAAATATCCAAGAGCAGAAAAAGCCAGCAGGTCTTCTGCTATCTTATGTATTGTCAGTGCTCACATAGATCTTCTTATATGCATGGTTTGAGTTGGTTTTAGCTTTACAGTTAGGGTTCTTTGAAGGGCCCTAAGAAGATCAGGGGTGTACAGTGAATGTATTAGTGGTCAGAGTGCTTGGGATGACTGAAATTGTCCCCGTAACTCAATACGAATAAAAATTGTCTGCAACAGACCATTGTGGGACAACGTAAAATTTACAAGACAAGTTTTTATTGTAGACCCACAATATGAAATTTCATCTAAATTTATCAAGTGATACAGAAACTGGAACACACAAACTGATTAACAAGTGATCAAGTTGGAATTTCAGAACAGAGAATGAAAGTGTTAAATATACATGAGATTTAATATTCTATAGAGAAAGCTGCCCATCTCCAGTAGAACTGATAGCAGTGGCTCCTCCACCTGTCATACAGCTGGCTCAGTTCTGTGATGGTCTGCGAAAAGTCTGCATTGAGTTTGATCACAATGTGGATGGATCTGAGAAGTGTTCTGATATTTTTGCTCCGGAGACACTTGCACTGCTTGGAGATGGTAAGTAATGCTGTAATTATGGTGAACTAAAATTGATACAGTTATTGCGTTTTTGGACATTATCCATCGTCCTGTTTCTTATTTAAAACACAGTGTTTCGGAGATCGGATTCTGTCTCCGTCTGCAGGTAAGAACCTACTCAGTTGTGCCTAATTGATGGAGCTAGTCCCTATCTCCAGACACCAGCACCAACACGAGATAAGGTATATGAACCAACCACAACACAAATCATCAGTAAGAATTAAGACATACACAAAAGAACACAAAAAGAAAATTCCACACACATGAGGCCTAGCACCTATGTCCATGCATTATTTAAGGGTCAGTGTTGATAAAATCAGAGACTTCCAGATCATAAGCCATCACTAGGGAAATAAATTCTTTGTATAGTACCAAAATGAAAACAAAATTTTCCGACAGATCCTACACTGGATGGTGGTGTAGTTTTCTGACTTCTGGCGCAACAGTGGGAGTAAAGATGGGAGTGATGTCCAAGATGGGTTGTTAATATGCCATCATCACACAGTTTTAGATCTTATTTAGAACTGATAACTGTATTTAATGCATGCATCAGTTTTTGTATATATGAGTATCAGTGTTATATGTAATTTTTGTCCCTTTTTGATAATGTATTAATTTGTTTTTGAAGTGCAGTGTGGACTTTTGTAATTATAGAATTCTGACTGCTTCATTTGGTCTCTAGCGACTTTATCAGATGGACAGATTTCAAGAAACGTTTGCCATGAGCGGACTAATAAAATTTCTTTGCTTGTGTCTGGTGGAGCACAGGGTCAAGGCAAAGGCTGTGTTGTCTTGTTCACTAACTGGGCATGTCACAGATGGCGGGTGTCATGATTGAGGAATTTGCAATGATGGTTTGAAAACGAAAATATAGGTGTTCAGAGAACAAGCATGTTTTAGTGCCACTTTGAAACAAACAAGCAAGCAAACAACGAAACATTTTTTTAATACACAAAACACAAGACACTTAAGACTGAAATGCAGAAGAATGCATTGTTAAAGAGGTGCTATTGAAGTTTGGGGGCATGGAGCTGTATTACAAAGAAATAATAATAAACATAACACATGGTCAGTGGATATTACTTACTTTTTCAGGTGCAGACTGCAGTTATGTGGCCAACCGCCTTATTGTCACTCTAGGATCAAACCCAAACATACAAGGGAACTCGGAGTTACAGTTACTGGAAAACAGTAAAGTATTCCGGGAGCAGTCAGATCTATCACTCACAGCTCCTGCATCTGGAAAAGTAACTGTTATACCACCAGATCCAAAGGTATAATTTACATTATCTTAATACACAGTGACATAAATTTTTTCACAGAGCAGTAGTTGAGACAGTGAAATGTACTTAAACTGTCATTAACACTATATAAATGACTATTTACAAGAGAGCAGTTTGTTATCAAGAGCAAAAGCAGGAAATATTTTAGTTGACACATATTGCACGATCATCTTGTAAAAAATATCCATATACAAATTATATAAAATATAAGATTTACAGAGGGCGAGGAAATGTTACGAAACTCTTAAAAATATAATTTAGAATTTGGGAATTTTCAGGAAAGGTTAAAATGATGTTATATCAAAAGTATTACTTACTTGTTTTCACATATAGAACAGCAGTTGGGTTGCGCTCGAGAGATATTAACAAGTCATAAGTAGATATGAAGATTGAAGACTGGAGCATTAAGAAACACAAACGAATAAAATCCAAAATTTGGATGGCAGCTAAGACTGGAAAGCAGAAGCACTCCTAGAAACCTGTTGAAATGTAGGGCACATTGCTATGGACATGTTTTATGAAAGGGGATCAATTGTATTCCATTGTAGATATCAGAAATGAATTTGTGAAGTTAGCAGATTCTAAGAACTAGGTTGAGAAATGTAGACAAGGCAGATAAACAGATGAGAGTTGGGATAGAGAGAACATGATAAAAGAGGAGTGCATGTGGGATGAGAGACAAGTAACCAGTGAAGTCCCAGGTCAGAGATGAAGACCTGGAATGTGATTATGGGCTGCCTGATCAGGACTGTTGGAACCTCAAGGGAATTTGGTAGATGAGTCTGCAGTAATTGTAGAAAGTTGATTATCAGGGAGAAGTCAAAGAAAGTCAGAGAGAAACTTGCTCTTGTGCCACCTCATCTATGAAAAATCTAAAATTAAGCCACCTGGGATCGAATCATGGCTTCTGCAATCAGAAGCCAGCATCTAACTGCCTAAGCCATGGCACTACCATGACATTTATGCATTGTGCTATAATTAGAAACCTGTATTAGACACTGTAAGTCATTTTCATTACAAGAAATTATACTTTAACAAATTAATGTTTATGTGTGCTGGTCTTTTTGTAATGTACAGGAATATACACCATTACCACTAAAGGCCATGTCACAGAATGAATTGTGACATGTTTAGATTTGTTGAGATGGATGTGCTCATTTATTCTATTATGTACATAGGTAAGTCAATAAGTAAGTTACAAATGGATATAGAACTTAAACAAATAAGAGTACTGATTTGAAAAATGCTTTTATTTCTCAACATAATCTCCCTGTACACTGAAGCACTTGTCCCATCGTTTCACACGCCCCTGAGAACCAGCAGCATAAAATTCTTTGGGCTGCTGTCGAAACTAAGCGGTGACTGGGATCATGAAGACATACTGCTCACTTCATTGCAGCCTCAAGGACAAACCATGAATGCTGACTCTTACTGTAACATCCTCAGGAAACTTCATAAGGCCATTCAATGGAAGCGACCAGGACTCCTCACCAAAGGCATGTTGTTCTTGCATGACAACGTGCATCCCAATACTGAAACCAAGACAAATGAGACACTGCGAAATATCAGGTGGGAAGTCCTCGAGCATCCTCCGTGTAGCCCCAACTTTGCTCCAAGTGACTTCCATTTGTTCGACCTTCTTAAACATCATCTTTTGGCTGAACACTTTCCCGACGATGAAGCTGTAGAAAGCGAAGTCACCACCTGGTTCCTACAGCAGCCCAAAGAATTTTATGCTGCTGGTGTTTAGGCTTGTGAAATGATAGGACAAGTGCCTCAATGTACAGGGAGATTATGTTGAGAAATAAAAACATTTTTCAAATCAGTAACTCTTATTTGTTTAAGTTCTGTATCCATTTGTAACTTATTTATTGACTTACCCTCATATATTGTGCTCTATGCTTTTGTTGTGATATATTTCTTCTTTTGTAACCTGACTTTAGCAATGAGAGACTTACAAACTGAGCCCCTGTATGTTGTTATTGTGTGAGCAGTCAGCATACTACCAGTGTCCCTTTCCTGTACAGATGACATATGGCAATACTTAACAAATAACAAATCTCAGCTTCAGAGCCATTTTGCTGTTCTTTCTGCTCTTCGTTCCTCCCCAGCTATTTCCAAGCTATTGTATTGGCTCATGTATCGTCACTGTTCCTTTTGAATATTTTTGTGCTTGGATTACTATATTGACTGTTGTAACTATAGTAGAAGTTTAAATGCTCCTGTTACTTTGAAGGTGAACATTGCAACTTGCATGGAAATTGTGTTTAAAAAGAAGAGCAATCTTTAGTTGGCACAAGCAGTTCACGGGTGATATGCAGTTGAGGCAGCCAAGAAGCTTAGCCACCTCAAATCACTTATCTCATGCAGAAGAGATAGTGAATTAATAATGTTGAATTGGAGGAGGTTATGCTGAAGTTTTACACTTACAGTTCCATAAGGAAAAAGGCCTGCATTTTACAACAAAACATAACTTCTTTGTCAGAGCAATGCCAGGCAGCATGCACAGACTTGTGTGCACACACCTCCGGCAGTGGGTATACATGGAAGAAGAGTACTGTGAACTTTATTGGACTTGTAACCTCATTTGGCATTGGCATGTTGCACAGTCCAGCTTGTCAAGCATTGCAGTTTTTCAGTACTAATACTATTACTTTCAAGTTTCATTATGGTTGCCAGACATATAGAAATTTGAGATTTCTGATCCCTCTTTCCTGATGAAAACTTTTATAACCATTCACTACAAGTAGAGTCAATATAAATTATGTTATATTTAAGCATCCTGTTGCACTCTACACTTCTATATGTATAATATATAATGCGACAAATAACTTTAGGCCTTATTTGATATAGCAATTTTATTTCACATTCGCTCTTACAATCACACAAATTACAGTCTGACAATTACTGCCATCGGCAGTATCACAAATACTGTACTGCAATTAACTGGTGACTGACTCGTAACTAGAGAACTCAAGAACTAACTGTGAATAGCCTTCGCTGCTCCTTATTTAGCCCCGTTCTGGACAACACAGAAAACAGTCACGTCACGGGCACCACTGTTGTCTGGCGCCGTGTATGCAGGTGTTATGTAATGGGTACTGCTGTTATTACCGTCATCTCTCGCAACCATTGTTTACCCGCTTTGCCTAGCAACCGCTGTTTACTCGCGTTGCATAACAACCAGTGTACTGGGACTCGGCTCACTTCGGCTCCGCTTGGCACGTCACGGCTGGCGGGGAGGTAGGGGCGTCATCCATAGCGCAACATGTCACAATATAAATACCGTCGTAAATGCAACATTTTATTGTAGTTCTTTGTCTTTCTACTTACACACTACATGTTTTGGCTGTAACTGGCCATCATCATTTTAAATTTTAAATTACATGCAGTGTAACAGCTATGTAAACGAAATACACCTGATGATGGCCAGTTATGGCCGAAACATGTAGTGTGTAAGAAGAAAGACAAAGAACTACAATAAATTGTTGCATTTATGATGGTATTTATATTATACATATAGAATTAAATTATGTTAATTAAGATCAATAAAGTACAAGCTATAAGTTATAAGTAAGGAATAAGCAGTCACATTTTTGCATTTAGAAAGTGTCATAGGCATATTCTTGCTGTGTGGACAGAATGTAGAATTTGCAACGCTTTCTAGAAGTCCATGATTTATTTAAACCGTCTTGCAGTGCATACACTTATCTATCTCCTTCTCTCACTCGCACTACATGTTTCGGCATAATAATGCCATCTTCAGGTGCTTACTCATCCACGCCAAACTAGTTCATTGCATGCCTTGTCCTCACATTAAAATAACTAAAATATATATCTATCATATATATTGACAAATGTCGAACGTTAAAAATATTAAAATTGTTCAGGATTCCACATTGCTACGTCACACCTCACTACGCCAGTCACGCCCATTCTCCTCTGTTGGAGCACTCCTTCACTATTGTGTGTGTGTTGTGCTTTTGTTGTGTCTTGCTCCTGTGACTGCGTGTGTTATACTGTTGGGCCTGCTAGAAGTTTAGCTGTTCAAGCTACGATGGCATGTCTTTTGGAAACCTGAGATTTGACAGTTAGTGCAAGCTATAAATCCATAGCAGGAGGACCACAGCCTCACGCCAAGCTGATTACAATTGAGAAGCTGTTGAAATTTCATTTGAGTCTTTTAAGAATTAAAATTGTGCAGCAAGTCTGCATCATTTGGAAATGTAAATTTCTGGTGAACTCCCAAAGTTTAAACTGGACCAATAAGGCTTGCTTATGTTTCTTTCATACTTTTGTTTCAAATCTGGGTGTTACATGAAATATGTTCAGACATAAAGAGAAATAAACTAAATGGAATTGAGAAAGTTATTCAGTGAAAGCTCTTTTAGATTTGCATTATGAACTTTGTGGTAAGCAGCATAACTAATACAAAAAGGAACATGTGAAATACAGTAGAACGTGGTTATAACGTCATCAAAGGGACCTAAAAATAGTGTCGTTATAAACGAATGTCGTAACCGAAATGGGCACTTCCACAGTAGCCTTATGTTAGTCACGTAAAAATCTACCAAAAACTGAGTTAAAATGTTGCATTTTTTAGTGAAATACATAGTTAAGTACAGACTAACGTAACATTAACGTGGAATTGCCCAAATGTGTAATATCAAAGACATATTACAGCGCTTTTCACTGACAATACACACCGCACTAATACTGTATATTAAAGGTAGGCCTACTCACCAAATTACAGTAGATTACATCAATTGTTGTGCCTTACTGTACCTAGATATGAGTACAGTAATCAGTTATCTTCATCTGTTTCCTGTTACTTGCCTATTCATAAAAGCAAGACACTTTCTCCAAAAGCCAAGCAGGACAAAAATAGGATTAATTTATAATAATAGGCAGATCCTTTTTTGAAATCCTTCATGCATTTATTACATTTTATAACACATTTTCATGGATGCACAACAAACTCCCACCCCAACAAAAACATTCAAGTCAGCCACAACCAGCAAACCAAACAAAGCCATAAGACATTCACATACAGGTCAAGGACACCTGAATTAAAACATATGGTTAATCCACGTAACCAGAAGTAATCTGAGGCAACCACACAATAGAAACTAACAACTTTACAGTGAGCAGCAGATTCCTTAATGACAATAACCTGTACACATGAAGATGGTCTGTTATGCTGAAACATTTAGTGTCAGTGAAGAAAAACAAGAGAATTATAATCAAAGTTGCACATAGATAGCATAAAAGCAAAACACATAGTCAGATCAATTATTAAAGCTACAGACAAGTTTTTCAATTTCAGATCCTGGTTGTCATATCTTGCCTATCAGGTTTATTTTATGTTTCACTCTGTCACATGTGCTGCATTTGCATGGTTGCAAGGTCACATGATGTGTAACATACAACAGAACAGTACTCACTCTAATGTCTCGTATGCAGTGCCTTCCTGTGAATTCCTCACACTCAAATTTTATACTGCTACTACTTCCATTTAGACTTTGGTGATCAGAATTTTTACTGGTATATTTCATTTGCAAGAAAGGAATTAATATAATAAATATAAGGGATATTACCTTTTTCTCAATTGTCCAGTGAGAAATGATAGTCTGTAAATTTTGCAATTGTATATGGCTTGTTCTTATATGATTGTCTGTATTAAATTTTATTGCCATATCAGACTAGTACTCCCCAATTTGAAGTGGAAGCACCAAAGTTAATCTGCCCAGATGCCCAACTTGGCAGTGCTCTAGGTCGCAGCTCTGTGATGCTGGATGCTTCCTCAACTAGTACAAGCACATCTCCACCTCAGGTCATAAGGTAATTGATTCTTCTCTTGTCCTGTGTAAAGTGTATTTTATGTTTGAAACACTGTCGAGGAAGTTGTGGATAGTCAGCATAATTTAGGGAACAAGGTATTGTGTTATATTTGTCCAAGCTGCTTGTTTATTTAAATCTTATCGATCTTTTTAATCTTACCATACTGTATTCGCTATCACAATGTAGTCATCATCTGTTGTGATCTATGTGTTGTGGAAGTGAAATATGCCAGTTTCACTACAAGAAGATGCAAGCATGTTTCTCCACCACATTCTGGTGTAGGGTCTATACAAAGCAGCTTGACCACCTGATGCCTGCAGATCCCTTGCTGATTCCTTAGAATCCTCTAATATTTAGATTGTGACTAACCTTGCAGTTAATGATGTAACTAACACAGTCTTTTGATTTTCCGCAGGCATTGTACAAGAAACTCACTGCCATCAAAATCCACTCTCACAAGATCAAACTGATACAAAGCAGCTTGACCACCTGATGCCTGCAGATCCCTTGCTGATTCCTTAGAATCCTCTAATATTTAGATTGTGACTGACCTTGCAGTTAATGATGTAACCAACACAGTCTTTTGATTTTCCACAGGCGTTGTACAAGAAACTCACTGCCATCAAAATCCACCCTCACAAGATCAAAATGAAAATGAGAATTTTTATAACTGAAGCTAGTCCTTGAATCAGGTGTTTAGTTGAGTCAAAGAAAGATCCTGTTTTGGAGGAAATTAACAATATTACAATAAACTGAGGTTCTTGTAATTTGTTCTCTCTCATAGGTATATGATTCATCAAATTACATAAAACTTTCATCAGTGTACTCGATAAGTTGTTTACTTCCCTAAATGTCTTTGTCTGGGATGCATCTTACATGTATGGGATGTGATGGAAAAACATATTGCATGTAACTAAATTCTTTATACTCGTAGTTCACTATTATCTCTACAAGAGAATATGCAGTAAAATTGTTAGAAAATATTTAAAACTTAAAACACATGAAACTTATAAAACCTTAAATAATCTGCGGACACAAAAGTTTCAATAGTGAACTCTGGTCATACTAAATCCTACTGTTTTCAATTATGGAAAAATAAATTACCCCTAATAATATTACAAATGAGAACTTCATTCTCTGGGTAAGTGGATTAGATACTTTTGTGTTGCTGGGATGATGGTGGTGAATATCGATAGTTACCATCTCGTATCTTGCGATACTGCAAACTTAATTCTTTTTGGTGATGTGTGCAGTCCAGCTGGTCATGCATTCAAGGTGTGTCAGTGTTGATATTTTGATTATAAGGAACAGTGTTGCTGTATCAGTGATTCTCAAGGTTTTAACCCATTGCAGTTAATTTGCATATGTAAATAATTAAGAGTATGTGGTCTGATATTGCACAAAGGCAAAACATGTAATAAATTAACCAATTTAGAATTCTGAATTCTCAAACCAAAACTTGAAACAAATTAATATACCAGATCGATGTTAATGAGTGGGTGGTAAATGTACACGCAGTCCAGAAGGTCTCCTTACTAAATTAACTATTTATTAAATGAGCCTATTGATATGGTACAGTGATTAGTGTAAAATGTTAAAGATATTTATATTTTTAATTTCAGAATTTTATCATCTGAAGGACAAAAACTGGAATATAACTGGTCTCTAGATTTCTCAGCTACACCAAAGGACCAGAGACACAACTTGATGATCTGGCAGAGTGTGAGAATGTTTCACACATATCTGAAGAAAGCTTCAGGATCTCTACAAAGTAACCAGATCCCTATCAATACTTCCATGGTTTGTATGCAGTATTACACACAGATTTTATGCCATATGGCAATGCATTTGTTATTCTGCCTTTCCTCAACAAGATAATCAAAATAATAAAGTGTTTATTAATATGTCAGTTTGTTTGTATGAGGGCTGAGAATTAGTCAGTTGATTACTAACAAATTGTCTTTAATATAATTAGGGCATGAAAGAGCAATTCCAAGATAGAATTTCAGACTAAAGTATCTCCATTTAACTAAAAAATACATAAAATAATTAACAGTAAAATCTTTGAAACTGTCATTGTTGTACAAATTCCAGGGCTAGGAGGCCCGTTATGGATATTAACAGAAACTCTGAATGTGTCTGAAAGTCTTCTTTTGATGTGTCATTTTGTGTCATTTTGGAGTTTTGAAAGAAAAGTGATCTACATGTCCTGTTTTGTGAGTGCATTATGGGTACTTATGACTTCTAATAACCCCTCTCTCTGCCATCTGTGAAACTTCTTAACATATTTAGATTACATTGGTATTTGGGAACCTGTACTAATGGTTGCTTTGTATTGGTATTATTACATGTTGGGAGGGCATGCCTGATGAAAATAACGGGTTGTAGATCAGGTGACTGGATATATTGGTACCTCATTTACAAGTTTTCTTAATAACACTCAGTCATATACCTCAGTATTATGCTTAAACAAATTTTCGGGCTGATAAGATTTTAGAATAAATAAATAATCATTAGAATCATCATACACCCTGGTATCTGGTATCTGCTATCTGGTATCTAACATTAGAAGATAAATCTTCTGGTTGATGGTAATAAAGTAAAAAGTAAAGTAAAACTATCCCTGTAACAGGCCGTGAAGGCCAATAGGGTTGTGAGATGTTGAGGGTCCCACATTATCTAGACAATCGGCTCAAATATGGCAGTAAGGTTGTCAGCCTTATGTGCCGGCCGCACTTTACTTCCCAGGAAAATTGTTTAATTAATTCCTAGTACTCATTTGTGTTAGAGGCTAAGTCGTCCCCAGGGCCATAGTAAGAAGGATTAGGTCAATTGAAAAAAATCCAGTTACCTCATTTGGACTTAAACCCATGACCTTTCAGCTTGTAGCATGGTGCCTCAACCACCTATGCTACCGCATGCCCCCGGTTGACTGTGATGCTGTGTAATTTATTTCTGATTCCTAGCTTACCAAGAATAGTAAATTAATAAAGATTTATTGCTGCCATCTTTCGTATAGTCTGGTAGAATATTACAAAGTGTTTTAAAGAAATCTGCTGCCTTCATCTTCATGGTAAAATTGTCCTCTGAAATGATGGTAACGTTCTGCCAGACTACGTGATATCACATCCCAGAAGATCCTCAGATCTTGCTCTTAGTGTGTGAATGAATAGGATCCTTTGTTAGACATGAGGCAACTCCTTCTTCTTGTCTTTTCCATAGCCTGTAAATTGTAACTGCCATGAATATTAGTGATTAATGACAAGTAATTTTGTTTCAGTTGATGCCAGGCATTGAGTACAAAGTAAGTGTGAGTGGGGTCAACATGCTAGGCATACAAGGGGAGACACAGCAGTTCTCTTTCCAAGTGATGCCTCACACTAAGAAAAGTGATTCTGAAGTTGAAATCATTTCATCCCAATTGGTCGTAAAAGGACCAGCTGTAACACTGAGCAATGCTGTGTCTTATATTGAAGCTACATTTGTTTCTTGTGTACCACAAATTATGAAACCTAATTTAAATGTAAGTATTCTTTTTGTAAACTCTTTGAGTGCTTCCTACAATGTTTCAGAAAAGTAGAAAAGGCTCTTCTCAATATTTAAATTGAATAACAACAAACATTTTTTTAATTTACTATATTTTGTCGTGCGGTTCACACAATATTATACATAACACACCCAAGTTTTTTTGAGTAGGAAAAACTAAATCACCATTCATTTCATGCATTCCATTCTTATGCACAAAATATAGCATAAGTGAAAATGTTTTCAATAAAGTCTGAGCAGGACAGTAGCAGGCATCTAAGTGAGAAGGAAACCATATTTTAGGCAGTTCAGCAAGAATTTTTTTGTGTGTTGTATGGTCTGCTTCATAAATTTGCAACCATATTAATGGAGCTCAAGGCATTATGCCACACCAAAGATGCATGATGGGCATGACATGAAGATCTGAAGTTGAAGACCTTGCACATACATTATATGTTTTTGTTGTACTTTGTTGGAAATTTGTTGTTTCTGCAGTATTTAATGAAATTGTGTTATGGAGTGTAAAGATGTTTGTTAAGTATTTGTAGAATTCAAAAGAAAAAAATAAGCTGATGTTTTATTACCAGCTGAACTGTTGTAATACATACTCAGTTTCACAGAGAATCTATTTCAATTTTATGATGAGTAACAGTGCAGCCAAAATTTCTGAAACCCTGGACAGTGCAAACCATGACTGAAGATTCCACTTCTGTTCCTGCTTTGGGAATAGCTTCTTCTGCCTCTGCTAAACCTCCTACCCCTCTCTATGTCATCCACTTGCTGTCATGTTGCAATTTACACTCTTGTCGAACAAATATGATTGAGTGGCATGCCAAAAATGGTGCATGAACTTGTTGAATACAGTTCACAATTGGAAAAGAAGTGTTACTTTTAAAGCCATATTGTTTTGTGGTAGTAAGAAAAGCACGTAAGTTTGATCTTTCTGCAGAATGAGGCACCAAAGAAGAGTAATACAATAATATAAAGATAATGAATGCATTTTTCTAACATTAACTAGAGACTCATTCTGCATCATCTAGTATGCAATTTGCAATCAAAAGAAAAGGACATAACAATTTTGCAGCATATGGTAACACTGTCCAATGGTAACTCACCTTACCCTAACAATACTGGCTCTTCTTGACTGGAGAATGGTGTGGGAAGGGGGAGATTCCCCTAGCTGTGAAAATGAACATAATACTTCAATTCCTGCAATTGATTTAGAATCATTGGTCGAGAGCAGACAGTGGTATTTTCCATGAGGAACCATCTTCATTAAACCCTGCACAAATCATGCACCCAGAAGTCTGATTGCAAAAGTGTATGCGATTAATGTAAGAAAATACATAATTTTTTCTTGGTTTCATCATGTATCTTTGTTTTCCCTTGTTGCTGATCATGCATGTTCAAATTCTGACACATTCTCAAATAATTTAATAACCATCATTGATTTTGGTGTACATATAGAAACGATCCAGAGACCTGTAGCCAAACTTTTAAGAGGTTGTTGGGGAGATAATTTGAAAAAGGAAAAGTAAATAAATTGTTATTTGGTTTTTCATCTATGTTGAGTTACAATGTTCTGCCACTTTTTAAAACATGAAACAATTTTCATGTGTATACATTTTATCATTTTTGTTCAACGTCGGTATTTATTATTTGTAATTAGAATTAATGAAAAGTAATGATACTGAAGTTATTAATCAGTTCAGTTTTAATTTGTCGGACTGTCTAGTATATACTTGCACACAGTGCTATATATTTCTTCACAAGAATGGCCAATGTGTTTGAATTATATAACTTGTGATCCTCGTCAAGTGTATCCTCCAATAAAAGGGACAATTTTCTGTTAAGGAAATCTGCTTACTGGATTCCAAGACAGTTTGTGATCGCCTGACAGTAAGTCCTCCAGTTTAGTCAGTTAGCAAGGAATATGTTTTGGCTATGAAAATTTGTTTATACAGAAACTAGTGTATTGATTTTTAAAATTAATATGTAATATTTATTATAACTAAAATAGGTCAAATTATAGGCCTTGAATTGTTGGATCTGTGTTTATCTGTTTACACATCTTGTGCATACTACTTTTCACATCACATTAATTTTGTAGAGCCTGTGTTTTAGGCTTACATTGTTAATGGTTCTGGAATTGTTATGTTTAGTATCAGTGGAAGATCGAGGGTGAATTAACACAGAAAGTGGAACTACCAAGAGGGAAGAGGCTGTGTCTTCATAATGGAATGTTACAAGGTGGAAAAGTATACAACATCAGCTGTACTTGCACATCAGAATCAAATGAATCTGCTGGACTGATAAATTTTATTGTAAGATTTACTTTATTATGTAGTGACCATCATTATCATTATAGTATTTGTGTCTGATAATCTAAATATCAAAAAAATAATATGAAGAATGTTTTATTGGAAAAGTGGGACAAGACTGACTTAAGAACATCTATTTATTGGGGTCAGTGTTAATAGGTTGGTGTAAACTTAACTGTAAATTTGATTTTAATTTTTGAAGAACTGTCTTGAGTAAATAAATGTTATGAATTAACAGTCATTTGTACTTCCCTTTTGATACTATTAATGATCTGCTGTGAAAGCAATATGAAATCTGCGAAGTTAAACAGTATGTGCTTAAAAGGAATATGTCAGAAAGGAAGGAGCACATATCTTTTTCTTGTTTTGGGAAAATGTGCACTGATTTACTGAAGAAATTATGTGTTACAGGCGTGGCATGCTATGGTTGTGCTGTTTCAAGGAATTAGGGCACGCATCATAAAGCACGAAATGGTGTTAGGTACAGGGCAGATGCTGCAATTAGATGCATCACAGTCAGAAGATCTGGACGGAACACCAGGGGTCTTGCAGGTAATATGTCCATATAAATATTAGAAACTGAAGTGAAACGCATGTTGGAACTGGCTTGCTGGGTTTCACATTAAGTGTCTGTGCAATCAGATGTAGGATGTTCCTTCATTTTGAATAATTTCAGCTGTTATAAGAAACATTTTTCTCTGTTCTCATATAACTTTCAAATAATTTTTCCAGTTATACTAATCAAAATGAAGGACTTGTGTCATTTGATGGCCCATTTTGGCCTCAGTTGTCTAATAGCCCATTATGTTTTTACCCTTCTTTCTTCTTCCAGCATGTTTGTACTTTGTTATTCGTTTTGAAAGTCTTATCTCTTTGAATTTTTTTGACGTGGTGAATCCATTTGTTTTTAGTTAATTTTTGTTCATTGTTTAGTTTCACTTGCATAACATTAAAACATAAATGCCTCAGGGGTCATTCCATTTGAAATCATCCAGAGAGGTCACTCACCATTTTTAAAAAAATTCAAAATTTGTACACTTATTTGTACATATTTTCACACCTCAAAAAATTGTTAAAAAATTGTGATCCGCTTGGTTCTCCTGGTACAGCCGTTTTTATAATGCGAAAAAACGCGTTTTCGGCTCAAATGGAGGTTTGCGTTATCTTCTGTATCTCAATAACTATTGAAGCTAGAGACTCCAATGAAAAACCAATTTGTTCCTCATGATATGGACAACAAATCATATCATTACAAGATTTTACTCAACTCACTTTCTCTAGGTGTAATTAAGCTTGAAACTTATCTATCGATTTTGGGAAAAACGTTATTTTGACCTTCAGAAACCAATTGGAGGGGGAAAGTATCAGATCTGTGGTTTCTACCCTTTGTTTTCTCCTACATGAAGAATATTGTAACATGTTGCGCGACTGAGAACCCCCCTCCCCCCTCCTCTCC